GGTGTGTCCTGCCCAAGACAAACGGTAAAAAACTTGCATTGACTGCAGCAAAGCTTGTCTCTGACATTTAAAGTGTCATGGCATAGAGATTTTCAGTGATAGCCTTGGGTTTAACTCGTGGCTCCTCAGATTGATTTGGAAAATCTTGATCTAAGTAGTTTTTATTTAGCAAAATAGCACACTGAGCGAAGCCAAGCAAGCTGCAAGCAAACAAAAAACGTGAAGTTGCACCACTTGCTGTCTCAAAGCAAAACCCATGCTGTTCATGCTTGAGGTGCACCTACTTAGGGGCGCAGCAGAAGCCAAGGGCAGAGCTCTGCCCTCAGCTGCAGCCTGCAGGTGATTTGACTCTTCCAAATCCCCTCGGAGCTAGGCATGCCGTCTGGGGGGTGACAAGCCTGTAACGCATTCATTAGTACTTACCGAACAGGTAGTGATAATCAGTCAAATGCCTTTTCCACCGAGAGCCACCGCAGGTGAAGACGATGGCTCTGATGAAGTCTCTCCCGCAGAGCTTCACGGTGTTTCCTTCGCCTTTTCCTTCACGTGCCGCAATCAGGAGAGCGAGCAAGGCCAACGCTGGCAGCGTGCCCTTCATTCTGCAGGCGTGGTGCTGCGAGGCTGGGTGTCGGCAGGGCAGGAGGGATCCGCGAGGCCGAGGTGGGGAGTTCTCCTGAAATCCTCACATTTATACTGGCGGCCCATCCGCTCCACTGAGTGTAACAGCTCATTCTGAGGATGACTTAATGTTTGCTAAAAACAAGTTAATCGCTTGTTTCCTGTAATGTTTTAAGTGCTTTAGGATTTGTGCTGGGATTTCGGTCAGGTATTAAAGACTTCTTAAGACTGCATGACGACTTTACTAGAGGAATACATGTAGTATAACATGTTTATAGGGTACGGGCTTAGATCAATACTGTTAATGTGTATGTTCTGCAAAAATGAAAGGGTGTTTATTACATGATTTGTAGATAATGGGTTTTGTCTCTGTGTGTTTCCCACACAGCTGTGCTACTGCAGCCTGCTGCCCGGTCAAGCCTGTTACCATAGTTTAAGCAATGTTGGGTCTTTTTCTGCTAGTGATCCTAAACGAAAAGGATGAACAATGTCCAGTGGTGTCCACAGTTGCGTACCTCCTCATGACCCCTGTTTTGTTCTCTTGCCAAGCATCCCCTTGTCAAGCTGGCAACTGCGGGTGCTTCAGAGGAATTTGCCAGCGCCAGGCAGTCACTCATGACAAAATCACATAGTGAGGGGGTTTTTGTGGCAAATGTGGGCATCCAAGCCTGCAAATGCCTTGCTGTGATTCCTGGCGTGCTATGTGACAGGATGCACTCCTGCAGCACGCCGGGCTTTTGGGAGCAGTGAGTTGTCTGTAACAGACTGCAGAGAGCAATGTAGTTGTCTGACAGCTTGTGGCCATAGGTATTTGCCTCGCAGATACCCAGATGCAGTGAAGTAGCTCCACTGCAGCTGCATGGCTCACGTGGCTCGGCTGCCTCTGGATGTGGCCATTGTCCAAAAAGGCATAGAAAAGCGAGGGAGAGGCTCTAAGCAAAGCACAGAATAATTACAGATCAGCATCCTGGCCGTCCTTTTCCTTTTGGTAAAATCTGAAAGACAGAAGTGGGTTCACTGAAGTGGCGTGGAGCAGCGTTACTGTGCTCTGGGAGCAGGGGTTAGTAGATTGGTTACGCTGCCATGAATGTTGTTGGCTGCAGTTGCTCCAACTTCTATAAAAAAGTCTTGCCATAAAATGCCTCAAGGAGAAATTGTCAATTATGAGGTCAGAAATTCCATGTTTAAGAACAAAATACATGAGGAACTCTGGAGATCTTTAACACTTCCTAGCACCACAAGTGTTTTCCAGCACCATAATGTTACAGCTAATTAGTGTACACGATGTGCAGGGTGAATTACGATGTATTACAACCTTGCCAGAAAGCTTGTTTTTTACCAGTAGCATCAGTAAGTAAACAGTCATGCCCACCGATGGAAAATATATGGTGTATTTTGTCCAGATTTGTAATAATGATTAACGCATGATTCACCTTAATGGGTGTCTGTCTTTCAAACGCACAAAGATTAATTTTATGTCAAGGGTAAGCTTGCATGTCCACCGTAAAATGTGCAGAACACAGAAGGAAGTGAATGTTAATGCATCACAAATGATCTTTAACTTCAGTGATGTGTTTAAATGTTGGATGTTTATTGTCAGGCTAATGAGAGAGCCTGAACGTTCTGTATCTATAAAATACATGTCTCGCTCCATGGTACAGCTGGTGGCTGGCTAGCTGGGTGCTTTTTTCTGTTTCTTCTCATCTTCCCCCAAAAAAGACAAGCAGCAGTGCAGACCTGAGCAAACATTGCCAGCAGCTTTCTGCTCTCCAGCTGCTGGGGGTGGGCTGGGGGAGGTGATCTCAAAAAACACAGCTCTGGCTTCCAGAGCTGCAAAAGTCAATCCTTGCCTCGGGACCACCGTTACCTCACGTGAGGAGCTTTCAAGAAAGGGTCAGTGTGGAACAGAGTGAATTTAAACTGCAATTTTACATTATCCTAACTCATCAGGAGTTGAAAAAATCGGTCTCTACTTTCACCTGGTGTGGGGTGTTCCACAGCTCACAGGAGTACCTGATGCCACTCAGAGCTCGGCTTTCCCCCTCAGTGGCAGTTTATGGGATGGCAGGCAAGATGGATGTGATGAAAAGTCCATTCATTTATGGTATGATTTCACAGGGAAGATACAGACTACATCTGGTAAAGACTTAGGCTGCATTATGGAGTCGTCTATACAGGAGGTGATTTTTTTGGCTTTTTTGCTTTTTGAGTAACCCAGGGAGAGGAGGGTTTTTTGGAGGGAAAAAAACAAGGAGAAAAACCCCAAGGAGAAAAGACTATGGAGACCTTTCTATTACCTTATCTGTTTTATAGGGAAGGCCATCTGTATATTAATACTGTTTGCCTAATGAGGGGGACTTCCAGAGGAAAATTTACCATTTGAAAGAAGTTTCTCCCCAGTACGGTTTCAAAGAAAAATTTTAATGATTGAAAAGGAATAAACAGTTTATGTTAATACTACAGTAAGTCTTTCTTGCTGTTTGCCGGCTGAGAAGCCGTATTATTTAGCTACTGTTAAATAGCTACAGCAGGACCAATTATGTCATGTAAGGTATCAACCTGTAAAACAAGAGGAAAAAGAAGAGCTGTATGACAGTGTAATTGCAGTGTAAGACATGCAGTGATCCAAAATCCCTGTTTATGAACTGAGAACAGAACTGCTTGTGCAATGAGCATCCAGAAAGCAGGCTAAGGTAGTTTGTATTATGTCAGCTGCTGCTTCTTTGGAATTCTGTTAATACTATGCTTCCCTCTAGCATCATACTTAGCAGCATACAAACATATATCTTGTTTATAAAGGAAATAAATTTTGAAGATGATACATGGATGATGGCTGTACTTGGATGTGATTGCCCCTGAAGTAATTACCTCCCTTTAGCATTAGTTGTAGAATGGACCCTGTCATGCTAAGCCTTGTGCATACCTAAGCCTAGGAAGACCTTGCTGTTATCAGAAAAGGGAGTGAAAGAAATGGATGATGCTGGAAAGCGGGGCTCCCTCTGGCTAATGAGGCTCTGTGACTCAGTGACCAGTTATGCCGCGTGCCCAACGTCTGTGAAATTAAGCACTGATGTTTTTAGTCCTGTTCTGGCGATATACCCAGACAATGATCCCTATGCTCTTATTAACTGACGAACTCTGCCTAGAGGACTTGGGCTGCTTCATGGTGATTTGTAGGAAAAAACCCCACAACCACTAATTTGATTTTCTAAGTTTAACAACAATGGCCTCATTTTTAGTTTTTAAGGGAAGTATCTTTTTGCTCTGTGGTTTACAGCACTTGGCAAATGAGGCTGCTAATTACCAGAATTTCTAAATGCAACGCTGGCAATTGTGAATTATTAATGCTTAATACCCTAAGAATGAAGGTTAGGTTAACATCAGTATTTTCGTTCTCTCCAGTGTTTTGCACCATGTAACTCAGAAGGGATTTTAAAAAGTACCAGTCCCATTTTACAAATTGGGAACCCAAGTCCAGTAAGCCAAAGCTACTTGCTGAAAGCCAAAAGGATGAGGGGAGCAGTGTAGTTTGGGGCTGCCGGCCACCTGCAGATAGATCCTGGAGGAGGGATCCACCCGCTGCTGGAGTACCCAGGGTGGCATCAGAATATGGACCAGGCAAGGAGTGGGGCTTTGGTGTAAATTAGCACCAATTTATGCAAAAGTGAACAGGAGGGATTCATGGTTGACATCAGTCAGCTGACACGGAATCTATGCAATGGTACGATTGGAAAGGAACTTAGTGGTAAGGCAAGTCAAATTCTCACGTCGTCTAGGACAGAAAAACCCTCACTAGAATATGTAGTGGCTTCTCAAAGAGTGGAGGCAATACAGAGCCAAAGGGCTAATAGGTTTGCTGACCCCAACAAGGGGAGACTATCTTGTCGGTGGCCAGGAGAGGGCATGTCATTCCTGCCTGTCAGCAGGTGAGGGCTTTCTGCCAAGTGCAGTCACCTGCAGACTGCAGTTGGAGGAAGCTTCACCTTCCTGCCCTTGCCCCGGTGTCCCTCCCAAATCCAGCTGTGGGGAACCTCTGGAGTTGTGACCAAGTGAAACCTGAAGTTTGATGCTGACTTAACTGTTCCTGAAGGTTCTAGCGGTATAGCATGCAGAAGAGCAGGAACCACCTCAGGTTTTAATCTGGTTATGGAACTGTATCTTATTCCATCTATTTCAGTATTTATTAGCTATATCTTTAGCAGAAGCCCCTTTCTGCTAAAGTACCAGACAAGCATGGGGGCCTCTGAAGACCACCATCTTTTCCCAGTGAACTATACCTTATTCCTGTTGGGAGCAGGCAGGTTCTGCAGCTCAAACACGCCGACTTCTCCTTTGCTGTCTCCTACGAGAAGGCAGTTGGTGTTCTTGGCGAAGAGTACAGATGTGAATTTCACTCTTGGGTTGGCAAAGCAAGAGATCACGGGGTTCAAGCTGCAACCCAGCAGAGGCAAGAATTAATAGGTAACATTGCTTTTGTGCGAGTGTACTATCATGTAAACTCTAGCAGATCTGATAAGTGTTGCATCTTCTACTTTTTATGCTCTAGATTAACTCAAAAACAGTGAGGCAGTGTTTTGTTCGGTAAAAATCCCAGCGGCTATTAGCTGAGATATCCTGGCTGCCTAAAATCGGTCCTATTGCCTGATGGGGGGGGGGTGTTAATATTTTTATTATATGAATAGTTTGCTTTTTGCTACTGCAAGATTTGGCCAGCCTCCTACTCCACTGTGGGCTTCTTGCTGTCATTCATACTGAATAGAACAGACTAGCAGTACAAGGCCACAGATTAACTAAGCTGCAACATGAGGTGTGCATCTACTTTACGGTAGTGGAAAAACGTGAGAGGTATCTGAACTTCTGACCGTCTTATCTTTATAAAAGATCCAAAGTAGCTTAGTTTTGTTATTTTTCCTTCTAACTATGGCAGTGGTAGAATCTATGATTTCTGCAGGGAAAAAAAGCAGTTTTACCCTTTATCAGTTCTGTGAGGCATCCAGCTCCTCTTATCACAATTCTCTGGTAACTACCATCTGCTTTTACAAAATGAGTATTTCAAAATGCAATACTTCCAATAACTAAGCAATCAAATGGCATGGAGTTGTCATGATCGGATAACTATACTGATAAGGCAATAATGTGTAGCCTTTGTGCCATTAAGTTTCAGAATCTTCTTTGAGAAAAGTAATTACTTACATGCTGACGCTAAGATCCCAAATTTCTACCCTGCTTTCATTTGCTGCTGCAAATACGAAGGCCGATTTTGGAGACCACGTAATGTCATGAACAAAAGCAGTGGCGGAACTGAAAGTTAAAACGGGCGTCTGTGAATCCTGATGCCACAAAATAATGCTCCAGTCTGCAGAGCAGCTTAGGAACATGTCAGTGCTGAAAGGATTCCAAGCGACTTTGTACACAGGACCCTTGGTGGTTGGGAAGAAACAAAAAAGAACTTTGTGTTATTCTGCAACTACAGCCTCACAGGATGGTTTTTGAAAGCGACCTTTCATGGAAATCCCTGACTGTCCTCTGACCTTAATAGCAAAACCAGCATTTTGTTATGTGTATAGCCATAGGAAATTAGGATGCAGCAGATGTGATAAAACAGGATGGATTGTAGGAATAAAAAGAATTTGGCTGATTCTGTCCCTTCACCAGTTTTTAGGAGAAGCTGATGCTGAAAGGGCAACTTCTTGGATGAAGCAGAGACTTTAAAAAAAAGAGGTGCTGTTAAAGTTCTGCCATCTTTCTCTCAGAGGTAAGAATATTTAACTGTGGTTTGCAAGACAATCAGATTACTGATTGTTTTCTTAAAATAAAGCCAGAACTAAAGCTTTAAAACAGTTTATAGTACAAGTTTTATTGAATTACTTAAAAAAAATCCTTATAGTATATAAAGTAATCCTGTAAGACTGTGATGGCTTATGCTATGGGAATTCATTCCTAATACAAGAAAAGAAGTTTATGTTTATTTTGTGGCATATGTTTTGTTTAGTAAATATAAGCAAAGGAAATACTACATTTGTGAACTTAACTGAACAGTTTCTGCTGTCACTATTTTTTCTATGTATCACTCACCTTATGGCCTCTGTATGTCTCTAGAAACTGCTCATTGCATGAACAAGAACACTGGTGGATATGACCCTCTTCTGTTCCAGCAAGATAAAAATTAGTGTCCTGAAAGAAAGGTAAAAGTAGCCTCAGTTGGATTAGCCTGTTTATCACTCATCCAAAAAATCTGGATGATTTTGGCAGGGACAGTCCTCTGAAGAACTAAGGCGGAGTTGCCAGGATGTTGTGTGTTGGGCTGCTTGCATGTGTGCTGCAGAGGTTTATGTGCAGTAGATACAGTGGTGCCGTAATGTATCAGATTTTCTATGTGTGTTCCGTCTCTATGCAGAACATGCGCTGTGATTTTTGACTCCTGAAAATCTTGGACTTTTTGCGATCCACATGGGAAAACACATGAATTCTTCAAATGCTCTGTGGTCAAAAGATTCAGCCGGATAAAGAGGAGAAGCACAGCCATCTAAGTCCTAGACTTGGGAGATGTTGAACAGCCAAATTCTCACCGATTTGACCAACACACAGAGGAAAGCTACCCGAGGATCTGGCCCCAAGCAAATGTGAGTAACGTGGCTAAAATGGTATGGTTGTTCACATACAGGGATTACTTGCTCGGTTGACCGTATCGTCCATTTTGGCTAAAACTGTTACTAGCTAGGAAGCAATTTGTTTCAGAACTAAATATGCTTTAAATACCAGTGCCAAGTCCCAGGCTTGTGCATATTAAAGTAGCTCCAGCTCAGGATCTCACCCCTGCTGCATAGTTTTCCTGGATAATCCTTTAGCCAGGATGGACTTTCTGAGCCTACCTTTGGATGGAAGTCAAAGCACATTCCAGCTGCCTGTCGAGATATCAGAGCTTCACTTTTCCTTTCTTTCTCACCTGGTAATTTTCTCTTCTTGCTTTCTGTTCGCTTTATTTTCATCAGATCTGTGCAAATAGCAAGAGTTTTTGTCAAACAGGTATGTGACAGTGCTGTGAATAACTCATGCTTCTTTGGAATGCTCAACAGCTCTTAAATGTTTTGTGTATGATAACTGGTATACAGAATGTCACCTGAAATAAAATGAAGCAATTGCAATTTCATGTATTACACCTCTGCAGAAAAGCTGCAGGGGAAAATGCTTACCAGTGCAATCTAGTCTTTTCTGTATAAACCACTCAGTTATTCGACCATCTGCTGAGATACACATTAATTTCTCTTTTTTGCCATCTCCTGTTGCATCTCTGTCCTGTTCCACCCACCTCAGTTGCCATACAGGACCTGTATGTTTATTTGAGGATTCACTGTGACAAAAGATGCACATGATAAATCATAGATGAACAAAGACAAGACAATATATTTGAAAAATATTAACCTTCCATTTTGTAATGAATGTCAAGTCTTATGACAGGAATGTTGTTTAGCTTTTCTTTAAAAAAAAAAAGGGGAGGGGCGGAATCTGATCATTGGCTGTTTTCTCCAGGAAAATTTTTCTTTTATCAAACTTTTTTGATATTTAGTTTCAGGGCACTGTATATGTTCTGACATGCCTTTCATTGATACCTGAATCATGAAATCAATCTGCACCTTGCAGGAGTGTGCCCTAGACCTAGGGAGCTGCCCTTAGGGCCAATGTCTCCCGGATCACCCCTCTCATTTTCTTCTTGATTCCTGGTTCTCCCTCACCTATTCTGATGTTCTTTCTATTTATGGCAAGTGGAATCAATGAGAAAACACCAAAAACTACCACTGTCCTCCCATAAGGATTTCTTTTCTGGAGCAGGATTGTCCTAGTTAGTTAGTACATGGAGTATATAGTGATACGCGGTGGTAATTTGCTGCATTTTCTTAAAAAGTCAGAGCACAGTACTCATTTGTTTCACCTTTCCAATGTGGAGAACTCACTTTGTATGCACAGCAACAGCGCAGAGAGTTTCATACCCCAAAAAAGGACCAGTGGTGTTAAAGTAATGTAAGCATTTATCAGCTGAAATAAGAGCAGAGAGTGATGGCAGTGCAGAGGGAGAACGGCGGTCTCTGAGGATTTGGCTGTATCGGTGTGAATAGGTGGATCAGAAAAGTCTGGCTGGCCCACTCTGGCCCTTCCAGGTATTTATGTGCTGTCATCACTTCTTGTGTCTGCAGTTTTGCTCCAGAAACTTCTAGCATTTGAGAGTATTGTTTATGTAGGCATTTCCAGTCAAAACTGGAAGATACTGACAAAAGTCAGAAATGAAAAAAGATTGTGTCACATCCCTGAGCATTCACAAGCATTACCTATTAAGACTGTTGCTATTCCCTCAGCTTCTCAGTTGTGGATATTCTTTTAGTTGTTATTTGCTAAGACGTGACCAAGGTGGGAGGAGATGGGAAATCATAGCCTTACCCGCTGTCTAAAAGTGCAGCATCGTTACAACTCCGTACGTTATAGATTGCGACAGAACCATTGTACATTCCAACTGCTAAAAGATTCGGGCTTGCCATAGAAAAATCCAAAGCAGTAACACCATGCTCACATCGGAAAATACGCTCTGGCCACTGACGAGTAGAAAAAATACAAGAAAATTTTAAGTTAGTTTCCTAATTTACCTTGGTCTTCTCAACACTGCCTACTGAATTACCAGGCTCTGCTGGAAAATTCAGGTGCTGATGACCATAGTGACTACTTCTAGACAGAAATTAGTTACTGTACTCTAAATGGTTCAGTTTATTTCTTGCTGCAACTGATAAAATTAGGAAAAAATAAAGACTATGCAGAAATATGACACTGTAAAATTAAGTTAGATGGGCCTACTCCAAACCAAATACCTAAAAATCATGTCCCCTAGGATTGAGCTATGTGAGTACAGCGTGAGGTTTTTGTTTGATTATTTAAAAAAAAAAAAAATTTGGAAAATTTCTCCAGTTGTTTTCTATCTTGTAATATGAAAGTAAGTACCTTTCCAATTACAGAAGCTTAGCCAAAGATAAAATGCAATGTAACATACTTCAGGTAATCTATTAACCACTGTTTTCACATAATTCCTCTATGTAACCAAAGAACTGATTCAGCTGTGTTATAAGATTTAATCCTTAAAGTCACTGCACTGAGCTCTTGCAATGGGAAACAGTAGAGTGCTAGTTTGCAAAGAACTGTATTTCAGTGTGCATGACAGGTCTTATTTTTTAATGTTCAGGACTTGAGGACTATGGTGACATCAGGGAATCACAGAAATACTGGATTATTGTTGACATGATAAATATGCGTCAAAGACTTGACTCTGCATGATTTAAATTAGTCTAATACACAATTTTGGCCAAGTGAAGTTTGTAGAACAAATCAAACTACAGTTGTGTAATTTGATGGCAATCAGATGGTTTTTACTCTGTCACTTTGTAACTGAGATTTCCAAGATTTTTTTTTTAAATGGCTACTTTAAAAAGGATCACTTTTCAGATGGATAGGTAAAGATGTAAATGTTACATCTATGAAATCTACTGTCTTTTTGATAGTATTAGCAGAAGTTAGATTAGATAATTATACTATATACTTTTAATTTTTTTTCCTTTAGCCTAGCAGAATTTTGTGGTACAACAGAAAATGCATTGGAGAGGCTAATCCTTAAACTTAAAATGCAGATGTTCTCTGCAATGAGAGTTTGGAAGTACTGAACAAATGGTCTACAGATTTTTAAAAAACAAAGGTAAATGGATTTATTTTCACATTTGCTGTCCTCAAGACTTTTCCAGTCTAAAAAATAATTTCTATGCGCCTGGGTCTACCTGCGGTAATAATGAAACAGATTTGCAGTCTTGGGTAGGTCATTCTAGGGATTGGAAGTGGGATACAGAGATCCGCATCGCTAAGTTGCCTAGCATAGACTGGTACTACCTGAGAGTTGTAATCACCTGTTAGTTGTTTCGTGGCCTGTGTGCAATGAGTTTAGTTCCTGTGAACAGACGTCCATGTTACTAAACCACCAGTACAGTCAGCACCTCTGTTGGATATGTCAACTGAGAGGATGGACAGGCACAGAAACCGAACAGCTTCCTACAGGCACTTTCTTTGGGTCAAGATTTAAGCACATTGTTAGGAACTGCAGTTGGAATCCATTTTCCAGAAATGTGTGGTTTGGGCAAGCAAATTCAACCTTTCTGGCTAGGTCTGGCTTTTTGAAACAGGAAGAAGGAAATAAATAAAGCAGAAATAGTACAGCAGAAAAATTCATTGAAGAAAAAGAGAGAAAACAAACTGGCTGCTCGTTACCATGGGGTTCTTCAATGACCAACAGCAAGCCAAGCCTTTCTTCTGTTCTTTAAAATCAAATGCTCCGTAACCAACAGCTAAAAGATCCTAAAAGCACAGATTAACAGATATCTCTCAGTTTAACTTGACGTTCAGTTGTATATTTTTAAAAGGCAACTTTCTGCTAACAGTCACTCTCAGTGCAAGATCTGGAAAAATAATGCTCACGTCATATGCAAGAAGAACAGAATTTCAGAATTTCTAGAATACTGGAAACTGCTTCAACTGAAGGTGCATTCATAGTCACTGTCAGTTGTGTTTGTGATCCCCCTCCCTGGCCATCATAAAAATATGTCCCTTTCCAGACATGAATATACATTATTCTATAAACATATTTTAATGTGCAGTATTTAATGGAATATGTAATAATACTACTTTTCTCTCCCAAGATTAGCTGTAAAAGGAGCCTCAGTGACCACCTCAAACTTCTAGCTTTTGGCTCTCAACAGTGGAGTCCCATGAATTCTGTTCTTTCTTTTCCATAAGTAGAAGTTAAGAAACAGCAGCAAGACTTTAACCTTCAGCTCCATTAATGTGTTTTCCCTACACATAACAAGTAATTTGTAAAACCAACACTTTAAAAGTAGGTATTTGTTTGCCCTATAATTCTAAGACTGAAGTCTATAAATGTGTCCAACTTTATAATATCTGGGGATCTGGTGTACTCACAGTGTGAAATGGTCTTTATTTTCTCTTTTTTTTTTTCCCTTGAGGCAATCTTACTGGTTTAATGTTTCTCATCCTCACCTCCTTTTTACCTTCCTTCATTCATTATTTTTGTTGTGCCATAAGAGAGCTCTGCTGGAAAAACTGAGTCTTACATTACTTTCAAAGTGGAGATGTCTGAGTCATTCTCACCTCCACTGAAATGGAATTAAATAAACTTGGGCCAGCTGCTCAGAAATCTGTGCCTGTTGTTATGCATCTTATCCTTAAAGTTTGACGAATGCCACTTTCTTGGGAGATTACTGTTAGAAGCAAAGATGTGGTATCTAAACTGTCATGAATAAACTCCATCAATGGTGATAAAGTTTAGTAGTAGGGATTTAAATTTCCATTTCCAATTCTATAACAGACCAAGTCTATTATCTTAACATTGTTGTTCAGGTGACCGCCCATGATAAACTGGACAAATTAAATAAAATTCTGGACCAATTAAAGCTGTTGTGATACATTTGTAGGAAAAGCTTAGCACAGCTGTCCAACCTGTAGAATAATGTAGCAGTATTGTTACATGGAAGGACAAAATGCAGAGAGTGGGATGTCAAGACAACCTACCAGACTGTAGGGATGAATCCGTCTCTCTGAGATCCCTCCCAACAAAGTACATCAAAGTCAGGAGTTTATTTACACCAACAATTGCTTATACTAGTCTGTAAACAGCTTAGAAGAAGTGATTTGTTAACTCACTGGGTTTACTTTGCTCCAAGCCATACTGCTCACACTGTGACCATTAGTTAAATCACATACATATGACCACAGCCGTTCCAGTCTGGGAGGTGCAATTTCTTCTGGAGTTTTATTTAGATCTGACAGAATTGATGGGTCAACGAATGCTTCCTTCTGCTTTTCCTTATCCTTCTTTTCCTTGTCATGCTTTTCCTGTTTAGCTTCTTTCACGGCTGCTACGGTACCACTAGTGTCTGATGTAACATTGGGATCTAAAATGCACAAATACAGTAGAGTCTGAGTAGTAACATTTCACTTATCTAACTCCAGCCATTCACATCAGAAGAAAAATTTGCCCTTTCAGCAAATATTTTGCATTAAAAAAATAGAAGTGAAGATTCAAGGAATTAAAACATCCTAACTTCTAAAACTGTGGCTAAAATGTTGATAGGGACATAGAAGATGGCTGGATCAGACTGTAGTGTGCCAGTTGTGCTCCAGGTGATTAATGAGTGGATTTAGCTACCCAGCAACAAGTTAGGAATTTATGTCCATCTCCCTCATTAGGAATGTTTCTAATCTCTCATATTTAAAAATCTGTTTAAAAGGGGATTTTTTCCAAGTTAGATGCCAAATTTTAAAAAGCCACACTTAACGCATTGATGCTGTAACAGCGTAGCTAAGTTACATGATGCTGTAATACATTGCTCATTGCTTGGGAAAATTAAGTGTAGACCATATTTTTAGACTGCGTTTGCTAAGTATTTTTTGTTTACTCACCCCTTTATTTTTATGGAATGTGCAAATTACAAATTGATCTCAGATTACTGTTAACAAAATAAGAACACGATAACTGACATATTGTCAGAACAAGAGTCACCCTGGCCAGTATCGTGCTCCAGCTGTAGCTAGTTCCTGAAGAGTGACAGAATATAACGGGTTCGTTACCTGAGAAACTGAAACTCTCTATGACACAAAGAGGTACAATACAATAAAAGCAGTGTGAATCTGCCTTTTTTTTTTTTTTTTTTATCCCTGTGTTACCTTGGAACTGCTGTAAAAGGTAAAATACTACTTAGCACTTGGGTCCAGGTAATGCCTCTTACAGTTTGCAATGAATGCATTATGTTAGACATTGAACATCTGTCAGGCTAGAACTTCTGTTTACCATCTGTCTTCTTATAAAATAAAAAAAAAAACAACTGTAAAAGACATTCCAATGCATAAAAATGGTTGGAGAAGTAGCAGAATTAATCTGTATCTTAACTGTCAGGAAACAAGTTTGACTAATGTTTTGAGTATGTCTCAGTTTGTGGTGATAAGGGGAGACGAGCCAGCTCAGAACTCATTTATTCAGTTCTTTCACCAAGTATGGTAGGGATGTATGTAAAGGTGAGTGTAAAACTGCAAAGTTCATGTTGACATGAACTCTCCTTTCCTTATTATA